GCCCAACCACTGGCAAAATATTAAAAAACTTGTGGCACTCAGGTAAAGTACCTGAAGACTGGAAGAATGACAATGTGGTACCCATCTTCAAGAAAGGGCGGAAAGTAGATCCTGGGAATTACAGACCAATCAACTTGACTTCAATTCTCGGTAAGATTCTTGAGAAAATTATCAAGGAGACCCTTCTGGATAAGCTGGCTGAGGGCAACATCCTGAGAGATAGCCAGCATGGGTTTGTCGCGTGTAGGTCTTGCCTGACCAATCTCATCTCCTTCAGTGACCAGGTGACATATCACCTGGACAAGGGAGAATAGATTGACACCATATATCTGGACTTTAAAAAAACCTTTGATCTGGTGTCCCATGACCCCCTCATGGAAAAATTGGCCAACTGCGGCCTCAGCTACACCACCGTGCAATGGCTGTGAAATTGGCTCCAAGGTCAGACCCAGAGAGTAGTGATCAATGGCAGTGAATCATTATGGTGCTCCAAGACCAGAGGCATCCCCCAATGCTCTGTCCTTGGACCAATTCTCTTTAACATCTTTATCAACAATGTGGACATTGGTGTCAGAAGTGCACTGGCAAAGTTCACCAATGACACTAAGCTTTGGGGCATAGCGTCCACACCTGAGGACAGGCTGACTTGAATAAACTTAGTAAGTGGGTGTACACAAACCTGATGATGTTCAATACTGATAAATGTAAGGTACTCCACCTCAGGAAAACCACCCTGCAGTATACTTATAGGCTCGGCAGTGCTATGCTTGCTAGCACCACTGCTGAAAGAGATTTGGGGGTCATGATTGACCACAAGGTGAACATGAGCCACCAATGCGATGCCACAGCTGGTAAAGCAAACAAAACCCTGGCTTGCATTCATAGATGCTTCTCAAGGAAATCTCAGGATGTCATCCTCCTGCTGTACTTGGCCTTGGTGAAGCTGCAGCTGGAGTACTGCATCCAATTCTGAGCTCTGCAATTCAAGAAGGATGTCAAGAATCTTGAGAGTCCAGAGGAGAGCCCCACACATGATCAGAGGGCAAGAGAACAGGCCTTATGAAGAGAGGCTGAGAGCCATGGGACTCTTCAGTCTGGAAAAGTGCAGGCTCAGCAGGGACCTGGTAGCTGCTTATAAGTACATAAGGGGTGTATATCAAGACCTGGGAGAACATCTGTTCACCAGAGTGCCACAAGGTAAAACAAGGACCAATGGTCATAAACTTCTACAAGACCATTTTAGGCTGGACATAAGAATAAATTTCTTTATGGTCTGAGCCCCCAAGACCTGGAATAGACTCCCTCCAGAAGTGGTGCAGGCACCTACTCTGGAATCATTCAAGAAATGCTTGGATGCTTATCTAGCTGGGATACTTTGACCCTAGCTGACTTCCTGCCCCTGGGTAAGGGGCTGGACTTGATGATCTTTGAGGTCCCTTCCAGCCCTAATATCTATGAAATCTATGAAATAGATGTGATGGAGTGAGGAGGGTGGCATTCAGTCTGTCTGCACCTGGAACTTCAGGAACCCCAGCAGTGGAAGGTTCACCTTCAGGAACACCAGCTGCTCCACCAAAGCAACATCCAAGCAAATGTTCCAGGGCAACTGTGGCCAGATCCAGCCACATCTGGCTGTGGCTTGCCCAGTAGGCCAAGGGATCACACAGCAGTGGCTCCATGTCCTTGGCAAGATAGGCAGCCACCAAGGCATGAGAACTCCCTGCCTGATGCTGGGGTCTGGTGGCTCTGGACCCCACCATAGAAGCCATGCCCTTAGCCCATATTGGCAGCACCTGTGGTGGAGGACAAGACTGGCTAGTGGATGGCACGCTAGCATGAGACAGAGGATCCTCCTGTTCCATGTCCCCCCGCCTCCACAATTCTGCCTCCCTGACTTTCTTTACCAGTGCCACTGTGCTTCAGTGTTTGGCTGCTGCATACGGTGCCCTTCCCCCTCGGGTCACACATGGTGGCCAGCACATGGACTGTACTGGACCGCAAGGGATCAAGCCATTTCCTGATGCCCTCCTTCAGCCACCTCACTAGTGCCTGCATGTCTGGTGACAGTGGCTTGCCCTAGCCAGGAACACTGATCCCCTGGAAGCTCTCCATTTGGCTCTGAAGTTCCCTCACTACAGAGATCACCAGGCTAAGGAGGGCATCAGCAGTACTGAGGCTCTCAGTGGCCCCGAGGAAGGGCTTGAGGACCGCCAAGATCTGGGAGATGGTATCCCACTCAGTTCTGTTCATGGGGCCGCTGATCCCGATCTCCCCTGTCATGACCCAAAGGCATGATTTTGTGTGTGCTTCGGCACCAGAATTATCCCCGCCAAGTTGCAGCTTCATTGCATGGGAGAGTTTCCTGTTGCAGAGGAAAACCCTGGTGCAGGGACGAGTTTCCCGCCTTTTCTGCAGCTTCTTTTGCAGGGTGCATTG